TTCAGTCGGTTCTGATGCAGCAACCCTCTATACAACAGAATGAAATACCACCCAATATGGAAATTAAGGTTCCAAGAGGCCAAGTGGTTGATATCACACAGATTCCCTGCCTCTTGGTGCCTGTCCCATGTCCCATGGAGAACTCTGAGATGTCCCTGCTTGCCAAAACATTGTCACCAGCATGGCCGCCTTTAGCGTCCCTTTCATTTGTGTAGCACGTATTTCTGGAGGACTTGGTACATGCCTTGGCGTTTCCTAACACAGGCACAACCAGTTCAGCATCCAGTGCCTTTGGAATCTGACACAGGGCTCAGGGAGTGCTGTGGAAAGTGGAGCAGCTGGTCAGACTAGCTCTGTTTCTCCCTCCTCTTTCCTTCCGGCCCCAGCCAATCCTGACATGCCACGGCCACTCGTCTCATTGGAGTGTCCCACTCAGTCAAGAAGCCCTGGTGGCATCTGGGTGACCAGTGGGGCTACTAACCATAAAGGTCAGCTGTTGGAAACCACCGGCATCTCCGAGGGAGAGAGTTGAAGCTTTCTACTCCCGTGAAGACGGACAGTCTGGGGAACCCACAGGGACAGTTTTACCCTGTTCTATAGGGTCGCTATGAGCCAGCCCCAAACTCGATGGCAGTGAGAGTTGAATATGCACTAATTGTGTTTTGGGAGAGGGGACTCTTCAGGGAATCTGAATATTCCCTTTAGTTTGGGTTTTATAATTTAGAAGGTCAAGTCCAGGCCTCAAAAATGACTGAACTAGAATGCACTGTGTGTTAATTAATTAAGCACTTCCTATGTGTGCTGGGAACTGTGTGGAGGCCCATACAGGACTCAAGTGCCCTCAGGTTGATGCTGGCTCCTAGTCACCTGCTAGGACAGTGCGGAACTGCTCTTGTGGGGTTTCAGGCCTGTAACTCTTTGCAGCAGTAGAAAGCTTCTTCCTCTTTCAGTTAGCAGCATGATGCACAATCACGAAGCCCCAGGTCTCCTCCAGGATCTTACACACCTTCTTGAATTTTGAAGGAGCCCTGGGGGTGTCGTGGGTTATGCTGTGGGCTGCTAACCACACATCAGCAGTTCAAACCCACCAGCGCCCCCGCAGGAGAAAGGTGAGGTTTACAATTACCGTCAAGAGTTACAGTCTCAGCTAGTTCCCCTGCCCTCTGAGGTGGCAAGGAGTCGGCATCGACTTGCCGGCAGTGAGACTTCACAGATGGTACATTTCAAGTTCAGTCCTAAGAAGGGCTGGACAACCATCACAAACCTTTTTAGAGCATTGTCAGCTCTCTGTTTCCCCCCAACCTCCCCTGCCATCCCCCCGAGGACCATGAATCTAGTTACTGTCTCTAGTTTTACCTGGATTTTATTTATTGAATAACATTAAAAAACAAACCAACAAAGTAAAAGAGAGAAAAACCTCAATTGAAAATAAAACAGAAAATATTAAAAAGTAGAACAAATTTTAAATGTGTCAAAAGCGAGATCATAATG